ACTCTACCCAGGGGGAAAGCTTGAGGCTCTGTCTCAAAAAAAAAAAAAAAAAAAAAAAAAACATAATAAATTAAAAACTGGCATCTTCCCAAGATGAAAGATATTATATAGAAAAAAAGTACATTTGTGAGGAAGGTAGGTGTCATACTCTCCTAATTATAAATCTAATTTATTTTTTTGAGATAGAATCTTGCTCTACCACCCTGGATAGAGTGCCATGGTGTCATCATAGCTCACAGTAACCTCAGGTTCCTCGGCTCAAGTGTTCGTCTCCCCTCAGCCTCCCAAGTAGATGGAACTACAGGTGTGTGCCACCATACCCAACTAAATCGTATTTTTTGCAGAGACAGGGTCTCACTATGTTGCTCAGGTTTGTCTTAAACTCCTAGGCTTGAGCAATTCTCTTCCTTCAGCCTCCCACAGTGCTAGGCTTACAGGCATGAGCCACCATTCCTGGCCCCGTATTGTAAATCTGATCTAATTGCCACTGTACTTGTTCTAGTTATCTATGACCCACAAAATAATAGAATCAAGTAATGGTTCAGCCCCTGTAGCTCGGTGGTTAGGCCACCAGCCACATACATCAGGGCTGGCAGGTTCAAACTTGCCCAGGCCTGCTAAACAACAATAACAACTACAACAAAATAATAGCATTGTGGTGGGCACCAGTAGTCCCAGGTACTCGGGAGGCTGAGGCAAGAGAATCACTTAAGCCCAAGAGTTTGAGGTTGCTGTGAGCTGTGATACTATAGCACTCTACCTAGGTTGACACAGTGAGACTCTGTCTCCAAAAAAAACCCACACCCCCTCCCTCAGAGGGGACAGAGAAGGAGGGAGGGGGTTTGACAGTATTTTTGAATCTTCTAAATAACTGTCTCTTGTAATCAGAGTTAAGATGGGGTAAAATGGTAGTGGTAACCAAGAGTAGTAATTTGCTTCTCAACTTCAGGTATCAGGTGCTAAAAAAAAAAAGTATATATATACACACACATATGTGTGTGTGTATGTATATGTATACACACACACATACACACACACACATATATTTATGGCTCCCACTCACCTCTAAAACAATTGATGAGAATAAAAGGCAGAGAATTTGTTTTCAATACTTTTTTTTTTTTTTTAGACAGAGTCTCAAGCTGTCGCCCTAGGTCAAGTGCTGTGGCATCACAACTCACAGCAACCTCAAACTCTTGGGCTTAAATGATTCGCTTGCCTCAGCCTCCCAAGTAGCTGGGATTACAGGCACCCACCACAATACCCGGCTATTTTTTGTATTGTTGTTGTTGCAGTTGTCATTGTTGCCTTAGCTAGCCCAGGCCGGGTTCAAACCTGCCAGCCTCAGTGTATGTGGCTGGCGCACTAACCACCGAGCTATGGGTGCCGAGCCTGTTCAAAACTTTCCATAAATAAAATAAATGCTTAAAAACATAATAAATTGGCTCGGCGCCTATAGCTCAACCGGCTAAGGCACCAGCCACGTACACCTAAGGTGGCGGGTTCGGATCCCCAGCCC